ATTATTATTATTATTATGATTATTAAAAATAAATATTATGGTAAATATTAAATAATATTATTATGCTGTGGGTCTGATGTTTTGCTCTTAAAATTAACATGAATGTAATTCGGAATCCATTTTATTTCTGTAATATGATCAGATGCAGCAAGATATTAAATAAAAATGTAAATCGTATAATAATAAAAATAATAACAACAACAACAACAACAATAATAATAATAATAATAAAAATAATTAATAATAATAATTATTATTACTACATAATAATTTATATAAATGATTAATTAATTGTATTTATAATAAATATTATTTATAATAAAATTGTTTTTTATTTTTATACTAATAGTATATATGTGATAATAATAATAATCAGGAACATGCATTAACAAAAGTAAAAAAAAGAGTCATGTCAAGTTCTTGTTGACTTATAAGGAGGATATTGCTCCACAACAGTTCCTTAGAAATGTTAATTACATTCATTTGCAGGCAGGAATGTATAGGCTTAGATCTTTGCCACAATTCTGCATGCGAAAGATCATATTTTGAGCGCACAAAAGTGCATTTTGCATGTGCGCGATCTGAGTTTTGTGGAGAAAATGTTCGTTTCGCAAAGAAAACAGTATTTCGAGCGCACGAAAATCAATTTTGCATTTAAAATACGTCTTTGGATGTGTGCAGACTTTCTCTTTTGCGCGTGCAATATTTCACTAGCTTGCTCCCTTGATGCCCGCCCTCAGTGCTTGCTAAATTCCAACGGGTCGCTTGCTCAACACAACCCAGCGTTACAATATGCCATAATTCCAGCCAATCAGAGACGAGGCTGCTAAATTCTGATTGGCTGCTTTGACAACCATTCACAACATTTCTTGCATTACCTCGACAGCAGAAGAGGAAAAATACAGTGCATGCATAATTATTATGCAAGTTGATATTCTGATTATATTTTATATTACCAATTCCAAACAACATCAATCTTAATAACTACTATTAATCTTGTATTTAATCATTTATAATTGATATATAATTATTCATGAAAGCTGGAAGTGAAAAATGTCTTATATTCAGGTGTGCATCATTATTAAGCAGGTTATCTTTTACAGATAAAATGAGCCAAAAAAGATATTTAATTGTGGCAGAGATGTAATCCCATAGGAATGTAGCTACAGCATGACACGAGCATGAAATAACACAGAAGTGCCACTAGAGGGCAACTTCCTAGCCACCTAGTTGCTATCAAACTAGCACACGACACGCTAAACTCTTGCGCTGGATGAGTTTCATTCCTCTGCCGCACAGATGCTTCTGCGTTTACTCTGATAAAGCTGCGAGGAGCCATGCTCATGTTCGAAATTAACGAAAGACAAACGCAAAAACTAACACAAATAACAAGGAAGTAGACATGTCTTTCAAAAAAGACACAATTCAGGCTATTTATTGGAGACTATAAACAGCTGTAATGTGATTAATGCTTTGTTGTATTGAAGAAGGCTTGGGGCGTCTGATGGCCACACGCACTGATCTAATAAGAGCGTCGCTCTCAAGTCTGCTCCAAATCTTTCATTGTCTATTATTGGAGATATTGAGCGACGACTGATATTTAGGTCGTTTTATGTCAGTGTCTGCTGTACTGATATAAAGATCTCATTGATTTACATCACGAGCAAACTGGACGCTTGTTCCTGACTCAATCAAAACCAAACCTCCACACAATCCTGACACTTTTCCTGAGCTCTGGTTCTCACCTCAGGCCCTGGTGGCCCCGGAGGCCCCTGTTGTCCCGGGTCACCTGTTTTCCCCTTTCAGAGAGAAAACATCATATATACACATCAAAAGAGATCATAGTTCAGTCTCTCTCAGATTTCTAGCCAGATTTGCTGGTTTACTGACAATCGACAGCATTCATATTGAACACAGAGGGTCTTACGAGAGGTCCTGGTTTTCCGCGTGGCCCCGTCGGGCCTGGATTACCAGCCGTCCCCTGAAAGAGAGACACAAACAAAACACAAGTCTCCTCGCTGTCTGCAGATACCACCCAATCCATCTTCACACACTGCATTCCCACACATTCAGACCAACCAATCTCCATCACTTAACCAGTAGTTCATGATTTTTTCAAATGTATCTGAATTGCATATAAAATGTCCAGCCATTTGCATTCCACTGATTAAACGTAATATGATTCATATTTGTCAGTCATACATAAATGAAACAGGTCAGATTTCTGTAATAGGACTACTATACTGAATGTGTTTTAAACACAATAACCAGTTTTTATATATTTATCATTAATACATCCAATTTGTTTCAATCTCATACATTTTAACTCATTGAATATTGCTCGTTCCCCAGCTAGTCATATTTTAACCATATTAACATTTTTTTTTAATTGGAACAAATTTTATTTTTTTCCACAATGAACAGAGCTATGCTTATTCTAGGCAGTTAAAAGTACATATTAAAATTGCTTGCTTCTTTTGATCTCAAGCGAGTATTAACTACGGCTACTCACAAATCAGGCAACCTATTTACACACGACACTGCTCTACTGATCATGTGCTCGGTACTCCACTGCACACCTCGGATCACTTCCTCCTCACTCTTAACCTCAACATGGTTCCTGACACAACACATACCCCTACACATGTCACTTTTCGACGTAACCTACTCTCTCTCACCCTCCCGGCTATCTGCTATGGTTTCATCTTTGCTTCCTTCCCCTGAACAGTTATCATCTCTTGATGTTAACCGTGCTACTGATTCTGCTCCACTCTTACGTCTTGTTTAGACACTGTCTGCTCTTTGTCTTCCAGGCCAGCTCGTACCACCTCTTCTGCCCCTTGGCTATCTGATGTTCTCCGTGAGCATCGTTCTAAGCTCAGAGCTGCAGAAAGAGTATGGTGCAAATCACAAAATCCTACTGACCTTAATGTATATCGATCACTCCTCTCTTCATTTCTTTGCTAATGGCTCCACTGGTAAATGGACATACTATCACAACAAAATTAACAATTCGCCTAACTCTCACATGCTCTTTAAAGGGGTCATATGATGCGATTTCAAGTTTTCCTTTCTCTTTGAAGTGTTACAAGCTGATTGTGCATAGATAAGATCCCTGAAGTTGCAAAGACTAAAGTCTCAAAACCAAAGAGATATTCTTTATCAAAGTTAAGACTGCCACGCCCCCCTAAAACGGCTCGTTCTAACACGTTTCGTGAACCTAGGAGAGGAGGTCATTCGGACTTTGCTGTGACAATCTGGTGCTTCTGAATCAGCAACTGTTTTGTTATTAGTTCAAGTATTTGCTATTGACTGTTCAAATGCGGAGCTTTGCGCATCGTGTGTGTGTGTGCGTGCGAGCGAGCGAGAGAGAGAGAGAG